CCTTTCTCTCTCCCATAAATCAATAAAAATTAAAATGAAAAAATCCTCAGGATTGGATTTTAAAGAACCCACCTTTGTGGGTTCTGGAAAGTATACATATATATATTTCTTGTCTCTCAACTATATAAATTTGAATATATGAAAGGTGTTTCTAAGTTAACAAGAACATTGAACTTCTTTACATTATAGTAATATCTAATTGGATGAATTCATGGATGACTTAATGAACAATTAAAAATAGTATTTTACTAGGCATGTGATTATTCAGCTGTATATAAAATAAAACCCCACTCACTATATGGATGCAGCCTATAAAGTGAAAATGATCAGAAAAACTAACATTTCTTCCATATCATCTGAAGGACATCGCGCCATTAAACAACATGGTGTTGTTATAGGAATCCCTGACATTTCACGATGTGGCTGTGGACTTCACCTCAGAGGAATGGCAGCTCCTGGACCCTGATCAGAAGAACCTGTACAGGGACGTGCTTTTGGAGAACTATAGCCACCTGGTGTCCCTGGGTGAGGACAGCTCCCCTGTGTCACTGAGACACTGCCCTGTTAGTGTCTTTTTCTTTCTAAGCTGTTTAACGCATCACAATAACTGCAGTTCTTTGAAATGGTACAATCTCAGATCCTTCTCTTTCCCCAGACAGGAGAGTATAATATCCCCTCTCCTGATAGAAAAGTCATTGTGTTAAAGATGTGAAACCTGTTCGTTTTCCCTTCTCAACAGATCCCAACCATTCAATATATCAAAGTCTTCTTCATTTTTCTCGAGCAGGGTATCAAGCCAGCAAACCAGATGTGCTCTCCAAGTTGGAACAAGGGGAAGAACTGTGGACAGCACAGGATGAACTCTACTGTCTAGTCTGTCCAGGTGAGTGGGTGAGAACCAGCAAGGTGGGCGGCCAGGAATTCGTATTCTAGTCAGAGCTCTGACAATGAATGAGAAAACTCAAGCCACTTCTCCAGGTATGAGAACCCCTTTTCTTTGTAGAAATTTAGATGAAAACATACCCCATTTTTCTCTTTTGAACTCTGACCCATTTATTTTATCTGCATTTTGTTTTTGTTTGCGTAGGATTCGCAGATCTTTTTTTTCCTTTGTCCATAGCCACAGTGTCTCTGCCTGTTTTACCACTTTTCTTGCTATGAAATTCCACTTTCTAGGCCTCTCTGGAATAACAGAACTTTGGATTCATCACTTTTTTCTTACTACTGGGCCTCCCTGCTCTGTTTGAAAATAGTGATTTTTCCTCCATAACATCCAACTCCACCTTAGATTGTGATAACCTGGTTTTCACGGTGCATTTATGTCATTTTTTTGACGCCGTCCCGTTAGGTTCTTCATACTCAGTTCTCATCACTATTAAATGTTTCCTCTATTGCCCTGAGTTAACCTCCTTCTGTTCAGTGAAATGCACTCCCGAATTGACTTCTCCCTCAATATTGTCTAATGTAAGCTTTCTTCCTGTGTGTTTTACTCATCATCATGGCAACTGGCCTCTGACGTCCCATTTTTGTGTGTGAGAGCAGGAATCATCTTTCCTCCATTCTTTTCTTTTTCTGCACTAGATATTTTAAATTCTGTCCATCCTGGCATCACCTGGGATTTTCTTTACATGCTGAGCTCTCTTCTTAAAGGTCTCTACCATTTCATTCCATTAAGAAGAAAAGATCTTGTTAACGTGCTACATGAGTTTCAGCCCAAACTACATCAGAACTATGTCTCCTTCAAATGACTTAACTTCCTAGTTTTCCTAATTCATATTTTTCTTCATTCTTAGTTGTTATCGCTGCATTCATTTTCCTAAAGCTTTTGTTTTCATGTCATTTTTTAATGGTTTTATTTAGATTGAATTTTCATACCATAGAATTTACCTATTTAAATTATATAATTCACTGGTTTATAATATTTTGAATAGCTGTGTAACTATCACCACAATCAATTTGGGAACATTTTATATGTACACATTATCATAGCCTTGATGCCTGTGCTTTGTAGTAAGTTTCAAAATTTGAAAGAGTGAATCCTCCAACTCTGTTCTTTTCCAAGACAATTTTGACTTTTTGGATCCTTTTATTTTCTTTGAATTTTAGAATCAGTTTGTGAATTTCTGCAAAAAACCCAGCTAGGATCTTGGTAGGGATTACAATGAACCTGTATCTCAATTGGGTAGTAATTTCAATTTAAGCATATTAAACATCTTGATCCATGATCATTGGTTGTCTTACTATATAATTTGGTCTTTAATTTCTTCCAACAACATAAGTTTCAGAATAAAAGCTTTACGGTTCCTTTTCTTAAATTTGTTCCTAAATATGAGATTCTCTTTTATTATTTAGTAAATAGAATTGTTCTCTTGATTGCATTTTTAGATTATTCTTTGCTAGGATATAAAAGTAAAGTTGATTACTTTCCCATCATATTCTTATGACACTTAATCCCAGGTAACCAAGTTTCCTGTCATTTGAAATTGCAGTTTCTATTTCAGTGATCTCCATGATGCACTATCATCTTGGTGAGAAAGTTTCTGTTTTCCTAAACACTCTGTGATGTGTTCTATACTTGTGATCGCCTTCTGCCGCTGATGTGATCACTTTATTTCTTTAATACTTGGATTTTGATATCCTAATAATTTTGAAGTTAACAGCACTACAAAAAATGATAGGAAAAAAATTGCTCTGGCCAGTTCCATAAGACTGCACCCACTTCAGATTTCAATTGCAAGTTTAAATTGTTACCTGTGCTTCTGATCAACTGGCTATAAATTGGAAGTTCTCATGAGCTTTTTGGGGGTTCAGTTAATTTGTTAGAGCAGCTCTCAGCTCAGAGAAATACTTATGTTTACCTGTCTGTTATAAAGGATACAGATGAATAGGTACATAGGGCAAGGTCTGAAGGATTCCTGAATACAGGAGCTTCTGTTCCCATGGAACTGGAGTGAATCACCCTCCGGGCACATGTTTGTGTTCATTAAACCAGAAGCTGATCAGATCTGGTAAAGAGTTTTTATAGAGCTTTAATTCCTAGGCTCTCCCTCTTTTCCCAGAGGTCACTGGGTGGTGCTAAAAGTCCAGCCTTCTCATCTATTTGTTTTTCTGGTGACTAGCTCCATCCTGTGTGTATGTAGGAAACCTGTGTTATGTCATTTTATTAGCATAAACTCAGCTGCTATTGTAAGGGCCTTTTTTGATGTTCAACAAAAGATTCTCATATCAATTAGGAATTTACAAGGGTTTTATAAGCTCAGTGTCAAGAACTGTAGAGGAAGACCAAATATATTTCTTATTCTATAACACAGGATTGTCACAAAACGGTTACTTCACATGAAGGCATTTTATAAAAACAGTTTTATTTCAAACTAAGATTATGAGAGATTACAGAATTAGTTACTGTTCTCTTTTTTCCTAGAACTTAAGAAAGTTGATGATCTTCTGCATTATCACTTGCAAAATCGAAATATTCACAAGAGTGTGGAACAATGCTGTGAATATAATATGTCTGCAAATGTTGTTAATCAGAGAGAAGGTCATTTCCTATTTAAGCAAAATCATGGTATGTTTGAGGTACGTGAAGAACCTTCAAAATCAAATTTATGTTTTGAAAACCAAAACAGCAGCTCTAACTTAACTAACGCTGTTGAGTTGAATGGAGATGGGACATGCATTCTGCATGTCAACCATGAACAATTTTATAACGAAATTAAATTGCCTGTCAGCATGAAAAACATCAATAACAATTCCCAGGTTATTAAGCATCAAAGAATTCACAATGTAGAGAAAGCCCATGTATGTATTGAATGTGGGAAAGCCTTCATCAAGATGTCTCAGCTCATTCATCATCAGAGAGTTCATACTAGAGAGAAACCTTATGGATGCAGTTTGTGTCGGACAGCCTTCTCCAGAAAATTCAGGCTCACTGAACATCAGAGAGTTCATACAAGACTGAAACAATATGAATGCACTGAATGTGACAAAACTTTCCTCAAGAAATTACAGTTCAATATACATCAGAAAACTCACATGGGAGAGAAGTCTTATATTTGTAGTGAGTGTGGGAAAGTGTTCATAAAAAAGTGGCAGCTCATTTATCATCAGCAAACTCATACAGGAGAGAAACCCCATGGGTGCAGTCTATGTGGGAAGACCTTCTCTACAAAATCTAATCTCAATAAACATAAAAAAACTCATACAGGAGAGAAGCCTTATATATGCAGTGAGTGTGGAAAAGGCTTCATCGAAAAGTGCCGTCTTTTTGCACATCATCGAACTCACACAGGAGAGAAACCGTATATATGTAACAAGTGTGGTAAAGGCTTTGCCACGATGAACACTCTTACCACACATCAGCAAACTCATACAGGAGAGAGACCCCATGGATGCAGTCTGTGTGGGAAGACATTCTCTACAAAGTCTAATCTCAATAAACATGAGAAAACTCATGCAAGAGAGAAACCTCATACATGCAGTGAATGTGGAAAAGGCTTTATCGAGAAGTGTCGTCTTATTGCACATAATCGAACTCATACAGGAGAGAAACCCTATGTATGTAATGAATGTGGGAAAGACTTTGCCATGATGAACAGTCTTACCAGACATCAGCAAACTCATACAGGAAAGAAACCCTACATATGTAATGAGTGTGGGGAAGGCTTCAGCAGGAAGAGTCTTCTCTTTAAGCATCAGCGAACACATACAGGGGACAAGCCCTATATATGTAGTGCATGTGGAAAAGGCCTCACCACGAAGGGTAGTCTCACTATACATCAGCGAATTCATACTTTAGAGAAACCCTATATGTGCAATAAATGTGGGAAAGGCTTCACTGTAAATAGTTCTCTGATTTTACATCAGCGAACTCACACAGGAGAAAAACCCTATGTATGTGGTGAATGTGGGAAAGGCTTCACTGTGAAGAGTTATCTGATTTTACATCAGCGGACTCACACAGGAGAAAAACCCTATGTATGTGGTGAATGTGGGAAAGGCTTCACTATGAAGAGTTCTCTGGTTTTACATCAGCGAACTCACACAGGAGAAAAACCTTATGTATGCAGGGAATGTGGAAAAGGCTTCCCAGTGAAGATACAACTGATTGTACATCACCGGTCTCATACAGGAGAGAAACCATATATATGTAAAGAGTGTGGAAAAGGCTTCACCATAATGACCCATCTTACCACACATCTGCTAACTCATACAGGGGAGAAACCCTACATATGTAATGAGTGTGAGAAAGGTTTCACCAGGAAGGGTCTTCTCATCAGACATCAGCGAACACATACAGGGGAGAAGCCCTATGTATGTAGTGTATGTGGAAAAGGCTTCACTATGAAGTGTAGTCTCACTGTACATCAGCGAACTCACACAGGAGAAAAACCCTATGCATGCAGTGAATGTGGGAAGGGTTTCACTATGAAGAGTTCTCTGGTTTTGCATCAGCGAATTCACACAGGAGAAAAACCCTATGTATGCAGTGAATGTGGAAAAGGCTTCCCCTCAAAGGTGCAGCTGATTTTACATCAACGGTCTCATACAGGAGAGAGACCATATATATGTAGTGAATGTGGGAAAGGTTTCATAGCAAAGAGTTACCTCATCAGACATCAGCGCAAACATACAGGAGAGAAGCCCTATGTATGCAGTGTGTGTGAAAAAGGCTTTACCAAGAAAAGCAGTTTCATTTTACATCAGCGAACTCATACTTAAGAGAAAACGTATACAGTAAAACCTAGATATAACAGACTCATTTGGAGAGGGCATGTCCATTAAAGTCAAAAGTCCATTATATAATAAAGTAGGTTTTCCAAATTCATTTGTCAAAAAATTGACAAATTAGCCCTAGTCATTTTGCCTCAGTGGTTAGAGCATCAGCCCGAGAACTGAAGGGTCTTGGGTTCTGTTCTTGTCAATGGCATGTACCTCAGTTGCTGGCTCCACCCCCAGCCCTGGTTGGGAAGGGTGCAGGAGGCAACCAGTCGATGTGTGTCTCTCCCATTGATGTTTCTCTCTCCCCCTTCCACTCTCTCAAAAGCAATGGATAAAATAGTCTCGAGTAAAGATTAAAAAAAATTGACAATTTAGTTTACTGTTTTTCCTTACTTAGACATGTTTCTGTAATTAGTTATATATGAAAAGTTTAATTTCATGGAGAAGTTTTCTATATGTATAATTCCTTATGTACTCACGGTAGTTTTGAGACTGTAATAAACAAGTATGTGATCTAAATAGAAATAAACATTTTTCTGAAAATTCAGTTTAATTATATTTAACTAACAATGTTCTTAAAAACAATAAAATTTTAATTTTATAAAAACACAAAAAATTTTTTCTGTTCAATTGTCTTTGGGTGATATATCCAGACATTCCCATTGTGGTGTGACATTTATGTTCAATGTCCAGGTGCTTGCTTTAGGGAATCCTGCTTTGAAAAAAGTATCAAGTGTCAGTTGAACTTTTGAAGTGTGCTAGGGTTTTAGTATAATTCCCCAAAATTACAAAAAAAGGGGGTAATAAATAAAGCTGAATTTCATTATCTGATGAATTGTCAATGTTATTAGATTGTCAAGATGAGATCTAATCAGTGATAACTTTATTTTGAGGCTTTTTTTGTTTGGTTGGGTTTTTTTAATATGTCTTTATTGGTTTCAGAGAGAGGAAAGGAGAGGAAGAGAGAGAGAGAAACATCAATGATGAGAGAGTCGTCATTGATCAGCTGCCTCCTGTACACCCCCAACTGGGGACCGAGCCTGCAACCCAGACATGTGCCAGGGCATCGAACTGCAATCTCCTGGATCCTAGGTCGACGCTCAACCACTGAGCCACGCCTGGCTGGGGTGAGGCATGTTGTTTCTTCCTCATTATCTTCACTTCCATTCTCATCTTCCAAGGTCATAACCTCATCTGCTATTTCACTTTCAGCCATGATGTGATACCCAGGGTCACCATTTCCTAACCACAGTCAACCATCTTTCTCAGCTACTTCTCCACCAATATTCTGTATAGTCCTACAGTAATCAGTAACCTCTAGCCCTTCTGAGTCCAAGTCTGCATCTTTGTCATCATTCTTCCAACCATTTTCCAGTGTTTGCACAATCACTTCTTTCAATACTGCAGCAAAATTTAAAATTGCCAGTTTTAAACTAGCTCTAATTTTTGTAAGGTATACTGCCCTCTCGTGTCTTCTTCATTATCTTCATTCTGCAGTACCACCATTACTTCCTCTAAAAACTTTCTGCACTATATTCGTTTGCTTGCCAGAATCATCCCCAGGTCAATGGGCTGGATAAGCGATGTTGTATTTTTTGGCAAAAACATACATCTAAATTTGCCACCTTCTGAACATGAAATATTTTGGGGTGGATAAGCAGGAGTGTTGTCTAAAAGCAATAAATACTTCCTATCATCTGCTGGTATTGCAAGTTATTCGACTTGGAACTTCCTTACTGCAGGTACAAATTCTTTAAAAAAACAGTCTTGGAAAATGTCCAAGTTGAACCATGCCTTTTTAGAATTATACAAAACAGGCAGATGATTCACTATGGTTTTTTTTTTAACTTCAGGTTTACGAGATTTGCCAACAATGACAAGTTTCAGTTTATGCGACCCATTGGCGTTGGCACAAAGCAGCGCCGAGGTCTTGTTTTTGCTGATTTTTCTTCCAGGTGTTGGTTTTTCATATTTGGAGGCTTGTGTGTTTTCAGGCGCAGAATGCCAGAACAAACCAGTTTCATCAGCATTGTAAATCTAAGACTGTAATAGCATTTTGTTATTTATATATTCTATTAATTTTTGCTGAAATGGTTCAGTATCTTCTGTTGGAGCAACTAAAGCTTCACCATAAATTTATTTGTTTATAATTCTGTGCCTTTTGTGAGAATGCTAAAGCCATTCATCACTTGCTTTGAATGGTGTGTTCATATGATTTGCTAATTTAATTGCTGCATATTTCAGTTCAACTGCCTGAACTGGAACCCCCCAAGAACGTTGTTGTGCATAGCACTTCAACAGTGCTGCTTCAACTGAAGTGTCGTGCCAATTTCATGTTTTCTGGGATTGGTGTTTGCACTTATATCACATATTAACACAATTTTTTAAATTTTGTCTTAACCTCTGATAGTTTGCTTTCTTATGCCATATTGCTCACATGTACGAGAGACAGACACTCCTGACTCCAATTTTTGTATGACTTCTAATTTTTGACTTAGCTTTAAATTAACTCTTTGCTGTTTGTCCATATTTTAAAGTTAGGGTTACCACGATGTGTTTTACCATACATACATAATTTAAAATTTATACTGAATACTTCTACACAGCTGGGGCATGGCTTGTGTACATTGGAACATCAGCTGTGACTCATTAAAACTGCTGCAGAAAGTCACGCCATACAACAACGGAACCAATCACCAAAGAACCAATTACCTGTACAATTTGGTGTGATCATGTGCCAAACATTGTTTATGCGCGACTCTTGCATTTGAATATGTAGACTATAGTTGTAAATATCTAGTATTTATGTTGGCAAAATTACTACAGTGTTTTTTCCAACACTATGGGACTGAACAGTCAGGGCCCTAGCAAGGATGGGCTGGCCAGGCGGCTGTGAGACCTTAGGTCCACATTCTGACTCACCTTCCAAAGCCTGACAACTCCAGGTGAAGGCAGCCTAATGCACACCTGAGCCTGCTACCACACCCAGGGGCCTTATGTTCCAATGAGGCCTACCCTTCACCTTGAATAATGGGTCGGGTGCGTTCTGAAGTCACACTGCCTAAGCTGTGTGCCTTTGAGCAAGTTACTTTTTTAAAAAAGTGTTTAATGATTTCAGGGAGAGGGAGCGAGAGATACATCAGTGATGAGAGAGTCATGGATCAGCTGCCTCCTGCAGGTCCCCTCCTGGCCCAAAACCCAGGCATGTGCTCTGACCAGGAATCAAACCCTGAGCTGCTGGTTCATGAGGGCCCAGCAAGTTACTCAGCTTACCTATGTCTCATTGTCTCTTTAAAATATCTCCCTCATGGGTATGTTGTGAGAAGTACATGTGGTTAAAACACTGCCTGCCAAACAGGCGATTAATCAAGTATCGCCGGCCTTCGTGAGGGAGGAAGCCCTCTTCCTTTCCGCCTCCTGGGTCCCCAGGACCACTCTGCCGGGGAGGCCTGTGGGGCCTCTTCCAGAGCCCTGCCATCACCTTCGGCTCCGCCCCTACAACAGGCGCCTGACCAGGGTCATCCGACCCGCTTTCCTCAGCCCGACCCCGCTCCGCCCCATCCCCACATCTCAGCACGACTGAAAGGCCGGCCGCCTGTGCTTTGCGTAAGGTCTGACCGCTGCCTCTTAAGTCTGGGCTCATACACGTCCACTTGTTCCTCCAAGGTCTTCTCACGGCATCTGGTCCAGAAGTCTTCTCCATCCCGGGAACTGCACTTCCTGCAAGATGGCCGACCCCTGGTGTTGCCCAGCAATGGCTCTCGGGCGCCGCCATCTTTCCGTTTTGCCAAAAGCATAAAAGGAATACAACTAGCTCCACCTTGGCCTTGAGTAGGCTCGGCCTCTGCAAGCGTGTGCAGCACAGTGCTGATGACCCTCAGGGAGGCTGAGAGACGTCCAACAGGAGACTCCAATTCCTCCTCCCGCGCTGAGGCGCGGAGGCGACGGCGGCAAGCCCGGCGCGGTGGGCGTGGTCACGTTGCGTCCTAGGGCCACGCCCACGGTCGGAACCGGAACGTCCGTTAGCGTCCCTAGCGACCGCGGGAGCGAGGATGGGGAGCTGGGGCGCCGCGACCCGAGTCGCTTTGGAAGTGAGGGGAGCCTTCGGTAGCCGGTGGAGTCTTGGGAAGCTCGGCATCAGGTGGAGTGGGGCCTGCGGGGGCGCTGCGGACTGGGGGGGCCTATGGGGCGAGAGAAGGGCGGTTTGGGGGGACTTTTGGTTCGGTCACTGGGGAGTCTTGGCTTCAGCCCTCCTCCCTTTGGCGGTCAGTGTTATTATAAAGCGTATGGAGACGTTAATGACAGAAAACGCAGCCTGGCCAGCGTGGCTCAGTGGTTGCGCCACAACCTATGAACCAGGAGGTTGCGGGTTCAATTCCAGGTCAGGACACATGCCCTGGTTTGGGGCTCCATCCCCAGCGGGGGGCCTGCAGGAAGCAGCCGATCAGTGTCTCTCATCATTGATGTTTCTTTTTTTTTAATATTACAGATGTCTCTTTTCTCCCCAATGACCCTTCCCCCTCCCCAGCCCC